GAATGAGGTAAGCAAACCAACTAATAGGCATATACGTTTGACGAACATTCCTACCTGAGCAGAGTATACCAAGCAGAAGACTTATACCAATGTTGTAAGCCTGATATCTCATTGTCGTGTCGTAGATGAGAAAAATTTATGCCCGAAATTTTGTGGGTATTTATGTATTTTACGCAACCCTGCCAGTAGATGCTGCATGTGGTTGTGAAATCTTGTCAACAAAATATGTCTGCTCCTCGGTCAAACTATAGTGTTCAACTTGTCATCGCCAATTTATCCGTGACTTACCAGACTTCTAATAGGGTGCAGTGGAGACTCATTAAAGACAAACACATTTTTACATGCACAGCTCAGTTTATTAGGAAGTCACCCGATAAACCAAATCCTTCAATCTGATTTTATATAATTACGATCTTATTGTTTGTTTTGTAAAAATAATAGGCCAACATAAGAAAAAAGCCAGTCCTCAAGGCTGCATAGGGCTAAAAGCGGGAAATGGTGGAACACATTCCAGACTGAATACCAGAGTTGTCTTCTAAAATCTGCGTACTGAAGGGACAGTTTTTACTTTGACAATCTGCCCAAGCATATAGCCTGGTACTAGGCAGAATTTTATTCCAGCTATGCAAGATTAAGACGTTTATACTGCCCGTCTTACAAATGCAAGACAACCAAATATCCGTTTTCTAATAACCTTGTTACTAAGTAGCTGACGCCATCCAAAATCTGCAACGCTTTTCGTGTATCGGTGGTCAAAAACCTGAAGACGCCTCACATTATCGGTAATCAGAAGCCATGCATCGCACCCATACAGCAACGCAGCCCTTAATTACACGCAGCCCCTAAGATCTAGTGATATACCTTCTTGACGCCATAAGTGACGCAAAATAGCAAACGTGATACGAGCCTTTGAGATTCTGGCCCTGACTTCATTAGCATAGGGATAGGATTATTCTCAAAACTTCTGGGATATATCCTGTTGAGCAGTTGCGGTTAACAGCACTGGCTGATCAATACAATAAAACGCTCTTCAAAAATGAGTATTCCCGAAAGTGTGGATCGTTTATAGATGTGGTGTTTCTCTAACACCTGACAAAGCCTCTACAAGGTCGGAATCCTGCTTGATTCTCGCGATTCTAGGTTTCGCTTGCCGGCCCAATACTGTGAAGAATCAGTGACGCCAAAAGCCTTGCCGCAACAGGAGTCAAACACCTCTACATTTACTGCATTCGCCCCTTCTGAAAATGGGCACTACTAACAATTCAACCCAGTTGTCTGGGACGGCCTCTTTCTCCCAGATAGACCCAAACAAGCTAAGTAGGCAATGGCTGAGAAGTCAACCGCCGAACTTCAACACAGCAGACGGAACGTCGTCAGGACCAGCAGCATGAAGACGCTTGAGCAGACAAATACACTCGGACACTTCTGAGACTGAAGGCAACTTGATATTCACGGTCCATCTTTCTGTTGAAGGCCAGAATTCTGGGTTGGAAATAGCACGTAGCAACCTGAATTGCTCTTAGGAGCACTGTGGCCAGGAGTTCAAACGTTCTGCTTTGCTACATATCAGGCAGCCCCTTTGATCACTGATTATTTCGCTGACAAGAGGTTTCCGAGGACCAGTCAAACGAATCAAGTGGAACAGCTTGAGAAAGCTTCCAGCATTCTTTCCGTCTTCAATTTCTTCGGTCTTTCAGGTCCACCAAACGTCTCGGCCTGCATGGACACTCAGTTGTACCTGGCGTCAGATGATGCCTCGGGTGGAGTTGTAGTTGCGGATAGGAGGAATCTGTCGCCGGGTCTCCAGCAAAGGCACGGTCCTATCAGAGATCCAAAGTTTGGATGAATTAGACTGAGTTTTACTCCACACAGAGATTCCGGCCCTCAGTAGCGCTTTGGATATCTTTTCCAGTTTTTGTTTATATTCGACATGGGACCGTCAAGCATGCTTTCGAGGCACCGGTTCTGATAATTCCGTTTGAATTCTGGGTACACCAGCTCCGCAATGGCTAAGAAAAGTGTGTGCGTTTCGCTAAGACCTGAAAAGCGCAATTAAGAGCAGCAGCCTTCAAATACGTGGTATATGTCTACGCTGATGTCCCATAAAGAGCCTCTGGCGGTGATTGACCCTCGTCACCGATAACTGACGTCGATGTGGTGTACTGGGATTCGTGGCCGGTTTTCTGGTGACCACCGCGACTTCAAGTGATTTCCGCTGTTCCGGAAATTCGTACTGCAGAAAACAGTCTATGGTTTGGCACACATCTGAAGTAAAAGATCCCAGCTGTCCGTGTGTCTCGTATCCATTCCAAGAGGAACACCCAATCGGTCCTCAGCAGCGCTTGGTCTACCTAATTGGATGTTCATATCACCACCAACCACAGCTATATCTGAGATTCAACCCGATGTAGTAGGGCACCTAGAGCGTCATAGAAACCGTTCTTGGCAGATTCAGAACTACCGCCAGTTGAGGCGTAAGCGGACACAGCAAACAAAGTGAGATTACCTTACACCCTCTAGATTCTCTCACAGATGATACCAAAGGAAACGCACAGACGCGAGTACCACTGGGTATCCAGTCAAGCAGAGACGCTTCAACTCGGTCGCTTGCTACAATACCCACCTCAGCACATCCATTTCCAGCGGCCCATGCATCACCAGAGTTGCGCAGCCGAAACCTGGAACATAGCAAGTGGTCACTCATTTCATTCACAGTAATTACGCCCAGCATCCTTATTTCTGACAGACAGCATACATCAACGAGGAGAGAATCCATCGTACCAGCAGCAGCCACCAGTTGGCCTAAACTAATAAACCTCAGGTAGTTTGATTACGCTGGTTTCTATTCGCCGGCTTATTAACTGCTAATTCCTAAAGGATCCCAAAGGTCAACATTGCTACAAGATGGCGAAACCATTTGTTGACGAAAACAACACGTGCGATGTCAAGGTAAATAAGCGGTTAACGTTCAGGTCAAAAGCAAGAAAGGTGGTGTAGACGCAAAGCCGAAATAATAAAAACGGGGAATTGCGTTGTGCAAAATAAGAATAAAAGGAAAGAATCAATGAGGAGAGACTCTGAGTGTAGCGCGGACACTAATTATAGCCCAATGGGTCGCCGAAGTACAAAAACCGCCACACTACAGTAAGGTTCAGTCTCTTTTTGATATGGGAGCAAGGTTCGAGATAGGTATTTTGAATCCAGCAGAATTAAGTAATGATTTCCAGCAAGTCGAGCGGATAGCATTTTATTGTCATCAGGTTATTTGCCGCTTTTGACTCTCTACTTCTTTGCTGATGCTTTTATCATGATAAAAAACGCCTTTTAGTGAACGTGCCAACATGACACAGAGATGGATTTCTGAATTTGCCAATGCCATACGTTAGCCACCAATTTTCTTTCCATATACCTGAAATGAGTTAACAATTTCCACATCATAGCGTTTACGATGCATCACTCTTACGAACTAATTGACCTACTTACCTATCTAGGTATACCAATACCGTGCGGTCATCTTCGCTCTATCCGTGTTTTGTGGAGTAGAGCCGCAATAGAGTATGTTTCCGTCGCAAGAGTGTTGAGTTAATTCTGATTACCATGATTACGCAAACTTGAGTGAAAAACACAGTTGCTGCACAATAAATTGCAATGTCACTCTAAACGCGCAGTAAACATGGCTGACTTCGGTGACTGTGGTGGTGACTGTTCCGCTAAAATCTCAGTGTATTGGCATGACTGGTTTGCGAGACAACAGCGGTAAGTCAACGACTACTAGGGCAGACAGCTGAGTGGAGCAGTTAGCAACATTCAAAGATTAAAAGTCCCAATGAAGACTTTTAACCAAGGCCGTGGTAAACTCACTTGACCAATGAATAACTCATCGCAAGTCTTCATACGTGACCTTGGTCCTCTTATTCACGTGTAAGCGAACCGATCGTGCAGGCCATTGTAACCGAAAATTCTCGGCCGTAACAGTTGTTGTCACAGCTTAGGAAAATGGTTGTTCTCCTGAAAACATTTACTCCTTTCATGGGAGCTCAGAATCCTGTCGAGTTGTTTCCGACAGGTGACACTGTAAGGATCCTGATGAAAAACTTACCTCGCCTTCGTCAAAGGCGAAGTGGGTTGGTGACCACTGTCGATCGGGAAGGATGCAATTGTACGAACGCTCATCAGAAAAACCTGTGACTGTGGAATGGTGAATCCATCACGAGAGGATTCCACGGCTGTCGTCCATCCGTTTTCTGCATGAAGCGATGGAACTTTGAGCAAGAATACAGCGGTTACTCAAAAATGTCTCCAGTTTCTAAGGCATTGTTCTCTTCAAGCGCCAGATAAACGTCAAAGTCATCACAAGTAAATAGATCGAAGCCGGTTAAGATAGCGGTGCTTTTGCGGCGGTTGATTTTCAGCATTTGACTGTAACCAAATGCGGGTGCACACTTAGGCAGATGACTGCTATCCATCATTCCAGCTAAACTTAATAAGTTGTCTTTGCAATCTTTTCCAATAGGACAGAAAACGTGTATATAGCTATGAAATATGCAACAAGCCTTGCTCTCAGAAACAGTAGACCAACGAAACTCCTAGTGGCGGGACCAAATGCCGGGATTCCAGCGTCGAAAGGCGAAGTCAGAGGCGACCATCATAGGATTACTGAAACGAACTTAGGGGAGGCTAAGTTGGAAGACGAGGAGCACAGAACAACCGAGACGCACCGGGATTTTGAAGAGGCTTATGGGACTTAATAACTGACCTAAATGAGACTGCATACAGTAGAAATGTGATATTTGTCGATTTGGCTCTCCATTTAACTGATTACCTGGATACATTTGGCTGTGAAGGCTACCTGCTAGAGAAATCAGACCAATCACTCTACAACTCCAGGCTTCGCAGTATACCGGGCGGCAGACCATACCCGGATGCATCTAATAAGTTTTGCAGCGTTAAGCTCCAAAGGACGGTTCCGCAGATATCCTAAAATCCACTTTTTTTATCAGCGCTTCTGTGCCTGCACTAAATCAGGCTTACTGTTGAAGATGCGTGTGGATCTGGTTGGTCATGCAGAGGCTGAGTGGGTTTGTTTGCCTGAGACATGGATCACTTTGGAAGGATACGGAATGCATCTACCAATGACGAGGAAGTGCGTTAATCCAGCCAAAGGACAAACGAAAATGCAAAACGCATGTCCCCGTTTCCCATATGATAAGATTCGACCACAGTCATTCACCGTTGTGGTCACGAGGCACAGCGCGTGTGTGTGTGCGTGTGTGTGTGCGGTTAAATTGACCGATTCTCAAAAGATTAGTTTTGATTTTCCTGTCAACTCGTTTACGTTGGCGACCGAGGTGAGATCGTACTTTTGTTTGTCGTGCAGCGTGTTGTGTGAGAAAATGAGCTTTCATACTAAAATGGATTGAAATGCGAAAAATAATGAGGTGTCACACTGCTTGCAACAAATCTGCCTAATTGACTCAGTAAGCATCCATGATAGACATGAGATTTGGTTCTGAGTGGCAACGCCTTTAGTGTTTGGAGATTTCATAATTTGTTTTCTCGCTATGTCTGCATAATGTCTTCCTTTTAATGGGCAGTTTAAGCAAACGCGTTTTGTCGCGGAATACCGCCAGTAAGCATCCATGATAGACAAGTGATTTTGCTCTGAGTGGCAACGCCCTTAATATTTAGAGACTTCATGATTTGTTTCATCGCCATGCATGCATAATGTGTTCCTCTTAATTGGTATTTCAAGCAAACCGAGAACTCAACAGAATTTTAGATCCAGGAAAACGATACTTTGTGGCTATTTAACAACGAAAAAGTCCTAATTTGCGTAAGTTTAAATGTTATCTGTCAATGAATTCAAAGCCAAGCTAATGTCATTGCACTGCTCTCAAAGGTATTTCCTCGCCATACTTTGACGGAATAATAATTACAGAGTATTAGAAGCAAGTTGCCAATCATTAAGAAAACGTCATAATCCGGTGAACCCGCGATGGCCAAAACTACACTGGTGTAAGTGGCATGTGCTTCTTGTTCAACTGGTCAGATAGTCAGAACCTCTTTAGTTAGTTAGCTAGAAATTTTCGAAACCGCCTGAAAACTCTGATGAAACTTTTTTTCAAAGATGTTACATATAGTGTCAAAAAAACTGGGCGATGTATCCGAAATCCGCTGAACATCAAAAAACATAAACGAAGGTGAATTGCACAACCAAAACGATAACGATGTTAGCTAATAGATCGGATGGGTGGCTAGATGGACGAAGTGGTTAGAGCGCGAATTTACCGACCGGAAGGTCCGTGGTTCGAACCCGATCACTGCCTGTCGACCTCCTCTGTCTAGGCTTGGGCGACCTGGGAGTATCCCAGCCCTCGTGCTTCTTCAAGTGGCATGGCAGCTAGGCACCGGAAGGATGCTACAGCTGAGCGATTTTATTTAACAGAGCAGATGTGTTACAAACGTGTCCCTGGACGCCATATTGTGACCAGGATTTCTCCTTGTAACCAGCCGGTGGCGCTCAGTCTACTCTGCAACTCGACTTATTACGTAGATCATAACAGTACATAGCTAAACGGCGTACATGACTACTCTAGTAAGTGTGTCTGATAAGTTCCACGTGAAAGGTTCCGCCGCAGTCCGCATAGATTATAGAGTAGCAAGGTGCGCACGCTGGAATCGACTAGCGGCAATTCCTGATGCGCAGAATCCCAGGTCAGTCACACAGTGTGGCAAACAGACACCAAATATATACGTGATGAAACTACAAATCAACCCTTATTCCATCCAGCGTTTCTTGGTTGATTAGGTGGTTGTATAATCGAAAGCAAAACAGAAACGTTGTATCACAATCGGAATTATAGTCACCAACGTCATATCATTGACCCCAACAGCTGAATATTCTAAACAGTCAGATCACTCACAATTGGGAAGAACTATGCTGCTCAAAAGCGACTGATTCCTGAAGGCGTCGGGATTGGGTCAAAACCTGCGTTACCAGTCTCAGGCAGTTTCCCACAAAATTAGACGGCGGCCGACCGTTGTGCAGAACAGGAGATCTAAGCTAACGGTGAAGACCAGTTACAACTGCCTGTTGACGCACTCATAGTAGATATGTTATGGTGTTATCTAGAGTTCTCACTAGCTCACAGAACATACAGGAGTCGATAAAATTGTCGCCGAAGATTCACACTCAAAGGTCAAAATGTTCAGACATGCAGATGGCTACCAAGTAAAGCACTGCCAAGAACCATGTGTTGGCACTACCGGTCTGTATGGGGTTAACTAACCACAGGATGACTTTATTTTGAAGGCGGTGCGTGGGTGAAATTTTAGGTTGTTGAACAATTTTTAGAATTCACATTTACAATACTCCCGTTTGAACATTCCTCCTGCTGTCCTGGCACAATTATTCTGGTGAGCTCACACTGAAGTTGGAATGTACTCTACTAAAGTCTCGCTATTATTAGAGCTTATCAGGAGTGCATGTGCTTGGTTGTGCCGGAATGTGAAGCGGAAGGCTGTTGCCATTACTCTAACAACTCATCTTGATTATCAAATTCCTCCTTCCTCAAGTCAGAATGTGCATTCTTATTCAAGCGCAATCAATCGGGTGCATGCAATGAACGCCGGGGGCTTAGTTGAAGTACGTTCGCTACGCATGTCAGACGTCCTGGCACTGCTGATGACGAAACTTGGGCCCAGTACCTCCGTTTGTTTACATAGCCTCATTTTAGTAATTGTACAAACACAGTAGGGTTGCTCAAGCGAGAGCCCTGTGTACGCAAACGTCAGGCGAATGGGCAAAATGAACCTGCTGAAATGTAACGCTTCCCTGGATATCGGCATTCAATTTTTAGTTTCAGTTATGCATCTGAATTCAGTGGCTCGTTTATTCACAGCAGTAACAGAACATTAAGGTTAATCAAATGTAACTAAGTAGCCAGGTTTTATCCTGTAACGCTGGAATGCCCATTGTTACTAAGCTGCTACCACTCATTATCAACTTGGTTAGATGAATTTTCAAGGCATTATGTAACGTTATCTGTGCTATCCCAGTGATCTCTAAATTGATACTTGATGGTGAAAATGGGAATAACTCTGTTTTCCAGGCAATGGAGTTGGTTTACTTTGGGTTGGTCCCTTGCAATGTCGCCATGATTTGCGATCGTGCACATGACATAATGGTAGATGTTCGACTGGAAGAGACCGGTCGTACAAATATTTGAACCTCAGCAGCTGATTGTAAAGAGACCTTACTAACTTTAACCTCTTCTCTGTGTAGGCTTTCATGGGAACAATGTAATGCAGAGCCTGCAGCAAGTTACAGGCCAACACGATCAGCTAAGAACTGCTCGAAACCGACTCAGAGCTTGCTGACCAATCGTCTCATTATTTCACAGTGCACAACTGAAGGTCCACTTAAACCAAGCTTATCCAGTTAGCAGCGTTAATTTGTTATAGCCAGCAATGCAGGTAAACAATCGTGGTACTGCAGCCAAACAACGGCCTGCAGACAGGCTACTAAAGAGGAGCCGAACCAACCGCAAACAGATGAATTTCAATGGCTGATGCAGGTTTTGCAACGGTGTCCAGGACGGTTGCTTATCCATCAGTATAAAGAAGTGATTTTCTTTGATACAGAAGTTTCTCAGGGGCAAACTAAGGCCTTTTATTGATCGATTTATGGGAAGGACAGGGTGAACGTTTTGACTTGATAGCAGTTAGTGAGTGTTGGCGAAGGGCTATTTAGGTATCGACCACTGGAGCTGCTATGTGGGCAAGGTACTTTTCACTGAGCAGTAGAGGATTGGGAGCGAACAATTTGGCTGTCCGTAAATTTGGTACTTAAAACACCCGTCGTCATGTCCAATTAATACGATTACCAGTAATTCCGCAATACTGAACTCGATTAACAGATAGTCTTAATAACCTGGTCCCAATTCGGAATGATTGCTTTTTTTGTCGTTACTGACAGTAAATGTATCATCAACTCGGCGGTAGCAACCAAGGATCGACAGGGCGCTGCAGTTTCCCGGCCTTTTTGAGTTCATTACCACTTATCACCAAGGGTACGCAAATTCTAGCTGGTGCGGTTTCAGCAATCCAGAGGTATAGAGGCAGGAGACAGATAGTCACGCACGGCAAGCGATGACAGTTAATTGGTGTTGATTCATGAGAAGCTATCAAGAAACTGAAAACTGGGCGCCTTCAGTGGGATAGGGATGATAAAGAGTGGCCACTGACTGCACCTATGCGTACCAGTGTCATCAGACTTTTAGGAATTGAATCCTGGCGTCCCCATCCAGAGAGGTGGCAGTTGTCAACCCGACCGACTTTGCTGACCAGACCGCATGCTATCCACACCTCGCTCACGTCTACTCTGCATTAGGTTGGGCTAACAGAGTACATCAAGGTAGATGGTCCTCTGGCATACAACGTAAACGTCTTAACAGGTGTAATATGTGTAGAATGAGTAGCTCGCCGATCACGGGAGGGTTTATTCTCCTTAAACCATCTTGTCAATCAGATTTCCCACTCATTACTTCAATGATCTTGACGGTCGAACATCATCGTATAGGCCATGCTTTTTTTATCCAAAATGCAATATGGATCACATCGTCGCAGAATATATTCAGTATCTGGCGGATGAACTGCAGCCACGATGGTGCTATGGGGTCGAAGGTTGGAAGAAGCAGCCCCGGCCTTCCGGTTTCGAGAAATGATTTCGTCTCCAGCCAATTCAGTGGAACCTATGCAACTGCCCAGATAAGTACATATCGATTGGCTGGCCTGCAAGCACAAGTGTGAAGCACACACCAAAATGAGTAGTTACATTATTTAGGTTTTTAAAATGCCTTGCATCTCCGGCGGATCAGAATCAGAGGAGCAATTACATCTGTGCACTTATTTTTTGTGGGTGAACGTCTCAGAAGCATTTCGATTTCCGAAACTTCTGAGACTAGTGAAGAATTCCAAATGCGCTTCAAGATTAAAGTTGAAGAGAAGTGGTCAGGGATGGAAGCCTTGTCTTACATCACCGGACATGATGAATCCACGCGAAAGCTTACTCCATAAGCGTACACGCTCACAAGAATTGGACCATAGTAATAACAAATTGTAAGAGAAAACTTCGACTGCTATACATGACGACTGATATAGAAAAAGAACGCTTTGTGTCGTGATAGACGTTGAAGAGAGTAAGTAGCATTCTTCAAAGACCTGATTCATAGTGGAGATAGGGTCAACGCGTTCTCGGTCAGGGCGAAACCCAGCTTGATTCTAGTCGCTGCCCTGATAATACATCCACCTGCGCAAAATAATGTCGAACGGTGCTACGGCTACCAGGCTGATGGTTGCTGCACGACATTCTTTTGTCCATTTTAAAGATTGTAATTACAGTGAGGCACTCCACTCGATCAAAGAAGTCGCTACCCCTCGACCGCGTAGTAAGCATCGAGTCGAAATCTACCATTCATTAGCATAACCCATCATGGGTATTGTATGCGTGCTCCGGAGACACAACATACATCAGTACAAACTAATGCCACCTGTCAAATTGGGAGAATATTATGGATATTGGAAGTTGAAACACAACCAAGAACCGTTGAGTTTACTAGAAGAATATTGGCAATGTGTCCGAAATTCCAAGCTCGGCGACAGATCAACCATCACATGACCAACAAGCAAATAATAGATTATTTCGGCTTATTTTACTGGTCACTAGTTTGGACACGGAACGATGGTTGGATTGATCGCAGTAGGCCAGCTGAAGTGTGGAGCGGGAGTGTAGGCGACTCAGCACCCAGACCCGCTTGACTGCGGCGGCCTAGCCTAGACTGACGGCACGTGGGATAGAACAGAGCCGTCCCACTCCTTGCCACTGTGCGCAGCAGATGAGTTTGTAGCAGTATCGAATTACTGACAGGCTTCAATTGTATTTCGACCATTCGTAACAATCTACCTGTGGTCGTGGACAACCGCTGCGTGATAGGAGTTTGTGGACGTGAGGACCAGTTTCTAAGTCTACCTTCCTCGATGGAAGTCAGTATCGCCGCTGCTGTAACTATGTGCATGCTGGTCGTCTGAATCCTCACACCACAGGAGATGACCTTACCCCCAAATGGCTTGGTATTATGGTTACTTGCAGTACGATAGTCACTGCTATTGGTCCTCATGGCATTTTTGGACCTTCATTCATTTCCAGCCGGTACCGTCAGCGAAAGCAATGCAACACTCAAGACCGATCGCCACTTCAGGGAGCCAGTCCCTGGTTGGGGTTTCTAATTTGCTCGTTCAAACTTCAGATTGTAGCGGGCTCATGGAATTAGTGATAAACGAAGCCAGTGAGTGCAGACTTCACATTGATAGTGTAGAGAAACAGGAGTTCCTTTGAGTATTCAGTTGATATCTTTAACTGGATGTTCTTAGACCTAATGCGATCGCACGCCAGAACAACACATGGATTGTTTTGTTGTTCAGACTGAGATGCTCTACCGATGTGATGAATTCAAAAGTATGACAAGGTCTATGCTGACACAGGCGCAGATGAGCTGGGTCCAGAATTTCAACCAGATATTTTGCCGTACCTTAATACAGTGGATTGATTGCATACAACATCCATTTCAAAGGGACGTCTGTGCAATTTACGCAGGCCGCTGAGAGGAGATAAATATCTGCAAATTTGTCTGGATAAGTTGAAAAAAAGCTCACCACTCCTAAATCCTCCGACTGTGCATACCGGGTCGACGGGAGTGTGATCCTGGATGAAACCGTTTGAAAGTACTAAACAATGGGTTACCTGATGAGCTAAATAGGCACACGATGCCTCGAGTGCCTGGGTATTTTGAGAACCGGTCACATTTCTATCACGTACAGTCGGCCAGATTCCAAGCCCCTAGTTTGCTGTCAGGTCTCAGTGAGGACGATTACTATTCACATAAGACACAAGCTACTCACTAGTAGCCGGATCGCATTAACGTTTGCATTCGCAAATGTCATGGTGTAGTTATTCTCGTCAATCCAGACTAACACGAAGGTTATGCATAACAATTATGCTAGTGCAGGCGTGGAATGAGCATAAATTCTGAACCTAGCCACGGCTATTGATCGGGTATTTTGAATGAACCAGTAAAAAACAAACTTCACCTCTACTTCGTCTGATTTCTTCGGGATTCGACGACACTAAACTTTGGTCGCATCCAAATAAACCGTCATACGAATCAATAAAGCGCTCCTGGGATCCATCGAGTGAGTGCATGCGTTGGACTCAACAACTCATTTGTTGTAAACATCCAAACACAAAGCTCCGTAACTGCCAAGTCCTCCGCGGGGAACGACGGTTCACCAGTAGAGATGTCTGACTCAATCAACATTCGAAACAAAGCACATCCTGCCTAATTTCGTATCCAGTATTATTTGATTTATCAGCTTCAATCAACAACATACATGGATGTGGTCCATTAAAACCAGCTTAATCCTCAAATGAGCGTACTTCACCATTTGTGTACAACACGGTGCAGAAAATGTGGTTGACTACACTTACCTAGTGAGCCTCTAAAAGAGCGACACCGGAAGTTGGTGATCCGAGAGTTTCCACCAACCTTATATGTATCGCCGGGAAAACATACTTGAAAACTTTGAATGTCGTAGCAACTAAGACATTAGATGGCCTTTGTATCGTCCTTTCGCGGGAAATCTAACTGCGATTCCGTTCACCCGGCGACACACACCTGATTTGCAAACGACTGTGGAACCAGAGACCATATTACTACTTTGTCCCCAACCCTGCAAGGCTACCTGTGCAAGTATCAGTTGAATAGTATTGTCCGACTAGGCCAACTAGGCAAATACCACACTGTTGTGTCTGTGCGGTGGCCGAGCTATGGGTTACACCTGCACTGCGCCTGCCAGACTACGCAATAGGGAGAAGACAGAGAACTGTGGACACGGCTGTATTGCCAGGACAAAACACACAGAATGTCTGCGTAAATGTATAGGATGACTAATTGGCCAAACATGCTCGTTCACTTGTTCGCTCCGTACAGCCAATGGTGGTGCTCCGGTCGTGAACACTCTCAGGCCCACTACGCTGGTCGTGTGTTGCTAAGCCGTTTGGTGAGAGCCGCCAACTCACCTGCCTTCCGGACGTGTCGAACCGATGATGACCTTGGGGATGCGTCACTCTCCGCACATGCACTTTTTCTTCTGTCTGGGCGCGCCCTGACACACAACTACCGAGAACAAAGCGATTCATTTACTACTTATTAGAACGAATAGTTTACACCTCTGGAAACGTATGGCATTGAGCGGTTGAGCGGCTAGCTCCTGACCGGAGAGATTTGAAGTTGTCCATTTGTTTACAACCGTCCTTGCAAAGAAAAGTGCACATGGTTGTAGTAAAGAGGTGGTCTTTGGGAATATGGGCGGTCTAGGTCAAGCGACGGACGTACACATCCACGTGGCCATATAAGAGAGGAATATGACAGAGGGAACGAAGCTAAACCAATGAGTGGAGTGATGGCCTCAACACGCCGTTTTCCAGCCGTGGTCAGTAAATCCCATGACAGGTGGTTTGCCTCCAAAGAGTCTCACCAGCACTACATGTTCTGAGATTCTAAACATGGAACCATGACCAATACCCTTCCCTCTAAAGGGGACACCTCAGTCGAGACCGTTTCGGCAGCCATGGCCGTTTCCCGTTAGTAGCTTATTTACCTTTCAGAAGACAGCACAAATATGCCATGTAGTAGAATATCAGACCGAACGACAAACACCATAAGCACAGTCCGTACATTACCCAGCGCATTTTATCATGTCCATCTTGATCCGACTTACCTTCTCAAGCAATTAAGCTTGATATATCCACGTATATTACCACTCATCAGAACATATCCTGGTTGGCATTAGGCTTGTATGAAGGCAATCAGCCTCAAACTTAGAACGAATTTGCGTAACAAAGTACCCTGTTTTATGGGTACTGCTCACATTTAGCTGACTAGCTTAGGAAGCGCTCTTCTTTGTTAACCTGACCGACGGGAGTGACGATCGCTACGAACGCTTGCCGCTTTAGTATAAGTTACACACAGCTTAGCGCTTAATGTGTGACCTTACTAACTGGAAAGTACGCATCCAACCCCTGCTTCTCGACCGCTCTTATCTTGGCTTAGATAAGCTGCCCTCGTGCTTCGTTCCGACGGCACAGCAGCTAGGTACCGAAAAGGTGCTACAGGTGGACGTTACGATATTATTTTCCTGTCTATGTGTCCACCGTGTGTGACCGCGAGTCTCACGGTAGTATGGTGTCGGAAAAGTGCCGAAGAAATGACAAAAGTTTTCGGTGTCCATATTAGGACAGCAACGGAAATGCGAATCTCATCACGCTCACACGAATATTATGAGCATTTATCGAAACCTTACACCGGTGATTCTGTCCACAAAAAACTGCGTCGTGAGACTCTCCAGGTTTGAAAAGATTTATGTAACATCCTCTGGTAAGTCTAAAGCAGAAGATGGAACTTGATAAGTATGCGACGAATCGGACGAGAAACACGCGTACTTATTGGATGACAACGGAAAAGTGCGGAAGCCCGACTCGAAGGACCTTCCTCTTTCAGAGTGTGCACTTTACTACCACAATAAACAGACTAAATGCATAGCAAACTCCGTGTGCTAGAAACCTTTGACGTTGCCTCGTGGTACAGTGATAAAACTCGCATGACTCCCTTGTCTTGCCGACGCTGAACAAACAAATTGAAGTAAATCTTTTTATCGAACGGCTACAAATTCGACACTTTATGGAAAATGGCAGCATTGAAACCTACGCACGGATAGACATTAATTTGTCGTACAGAAACACAAGCACCACTAAAAGGTACCAGACAGTGCCGTAAACAGCGTACACTTAGCTAAACAACGGATTAGTCCGTAGGAATGGAGGTTGGACGCCGTTGAAATATAGCCTCCAAAGCATCCTCCAAACGCGGATACTTAAAATTAAATCCAGCGTCCAAAAGCTTTTGGGGGACTACACGTTGTCCCTCCAACAAAAGGGTCGAGCGGTCAGAGCCAAGAATCAATTTGGCGACAAAGGCAGGGGTGCGAATGGGACCGAAAGGGAGATTGGGTGCGTTGACAGCCTCGCTAAAAGCCTTGGAGACTGCATCCTGACGACAGGCAAATGGAGCAGTTGCGTTCACGGGACCCACCGGTACCGAAGATTCAGGGTCAAGTAAATATTGTACAATACGCACGACGTCGTCCAAATGGATCCATGATATCCACTGACGCCCGGAAGCAATTGGACCTCCCAAGCCGACACGGTGGCTAGGGTATAGGGATTTGACGAAATTGGAGTTCTCAGCCAGGACCACCCCTAAAAGCAGTTGCGTGTGAAAAATAGAAGGCATATGGTAAATGATGGCATGCGTTAAGCCTGCAGCAGAGTCGCTGGACAAACAATTCAGTAAAGATAAAAAATGGATTCTTGATACACGCAGACTGCAAACGCTACGAAACAATCGAACGCCATTACAAAACGTGTGGATGTCCGCTGACGAAACGCAACGAATGGATTTCTTACACCTCCGTCGAACCAAGCTCATGATTTGTATGATGAAATACAAACTAGACAATCGAGATTTAATTATACAACGCGTGACTGTTTTAGTACGCAACAGTTTGTCCACTGTGGGAGTTCACGTGGATACCTAATCATGCGTGTAGCTTGGTTTCGCGTAGGCTTTAAATTTGTTAAACGAACCACTTCCGTGTGGGTATTTGCGAATACTTTCCTGCATTGTATTTGTTTATGGTCACGCTGTTTCTAACACGCTCACATGGGCTAAGAGTCATAGTGTACTGAAAATACGTAATTCAAGATTATCGTCAATCGCTTTTTACAAATTCATTTATAGGAAGTATCAAACTACTATTTCGTGAAACAACCGGCACTAGAGGTTTGCACTGGGAAATTCCGCGGACAGGAATGATAGCAGGGTGGGCGTTGAAGAGGTCGTTGTATTTTTTCCAAGCTCAAATTCACGCTAGTTCTGCGACTCTGCAAAGCAACAGATTAGTGGCGCGGGAGACGAATTCAAAACTACTTTTGCTACCAGAACCATTGGAACTCATTGTGGTACAAAAAAAAGAATTTAACGGAACGGAGAGCGACGTTCCACACAGAGAGGTAGTCGCTGTGGAGGACTATAATGGTGTAATCCAAAACTAGTATATAACGTTTTGTGATATACGATCCCTATAATACGAGGTAGTCTGCCACAGCTGAGTAGCAACTATTCTGACTAGCAAGAATGAAAACTCACGCAGTCTTGTGATAGAGAAAACGATGATATGGCGCGGCAGAAAACCATGTAGTGAAAGTTGGTGTGCAACCTGCGCATAAGAACTACGTATCACCTGCAGAAACCGAACTCCCCGTGGAATTCAATGACTTCGACAGTGGATACTACTGAGGAAGCATGCGGTAGTGTGTGGTTTTCTCGTAATTCAGCTCCGCGTCTAATGGAAGGTAGGGTTTATTACAGAATTTGTGGAACTGCTTTGCAACACTCGTTTACAATTGCGTGATAGTCAGGGAATTTCCAAGAAAGTTCAAGGAGATGTGTTAAAGAAGAAGACGGATATTTGGTTTTTAAAAACAAGGTGCATATGAGAGGTTTACTTTCCTGCCCAATAGCCTGTAACTGTTTAGTTGGTGCTTTCTAATGGAAAATTCCACGGCGAAGGGCTTTCCTACCTTCACTGACAGTGTGACTGATGAAGCCATCATTAGAAGGACGCGCAGATTTTCGTGCAGCTTGCACTTGGCTCGTAAGTCCGACGGCAATTATCCAATCCATACGAACAACGACTCCGCTTAATAGATTAGATATATATGCATAAACGCCGTAGTAGAACGACCGATAAGCTAGCGTTAATAGCGATGGAATAACGAAGGTTTGTTAGGAAAGTAGACCCAGAAACGACTATACGAAGTGAACTGAAAAGATGGCGTAAAATTTAAGACCAATATCTGGAAAACGAGGCGCTTCAAAACCTATCAACACGGTACTTCGAAATTGGCGATTAACTCGTTGAGTTTCCTCCGTGGTGACGCTCACGAGTGATAGGGGAGTATACCGTAGCTGTTCTCGAACAGTATTGGAGTGTGTGTAAAAGCCCTGTGCCGAGGGAATGCTAACGTGTTTCCGGCTGAAGCGAAATCAAGATAACGAGGAGTATCCTACAAATCACAAAACCGCCTACTAATAACTGAATTTCGAAAGGAAGTCAAAAGAGCGGGAAAGGAGAGGCAAACCCACTCACCTAAGCGGAGTTGGTATTGCTTGATATCCTTTCGTTCCGGCATCTGAGCAGCCAGCTCCCATTCCTTAACTAGCCGGGTAATCATACCATGGTCTTCATAAGCTGCCGCTTCCGTAAACGTTTCAGTGAGACTTGGTTTGTAAAAACCTGTAGTGGAACAAATGGATATGAAAACCTCCTGCAGTATTAGAAATGCCGCGTGACTGTTTTAGTACGCAACAGTTTGTCCACTGTGGGAGTTCACGTGGATACCTAATCATGCGTGTAGCTTGGTTTCGCGTAGGCTTTAAATTTGTTAAACGAACCACTTCCGTGTGGGTATTTGCGAATACTTTCCTGCATTGTATTTGTTTATGGTCACGCTGTTTCTAACACGCTCACATGGGCTAAGAGTCATAGTGTACTGAAAATACGTAATTCAAGATTATCGTCAATCGCTTTTTACAAATTCATTTATAGGAAGTATCAAACTACTATTTCGTGAAACAACCGGCACTAGAGGTTTGCACTGGGAAATTCCGCGGACAGGAATGATAGCAGGGTGGGCGTTGAAGAGGTCGTTGTATTTTTTCCAAGCTCAAATTCACGCTAGTTCTGCGACTCTGCAAAGCAACAGATTAGTGGCGCGGGAGACGAATTCAAAACTACTTTTGCTACCAGAACCATTGGAACTCATTGTGGTACAAAAAAAAAAGAATTTAACGGAACGGAGAGCGACGTTCCACACAGAGAGGTAGTCGCTGTGGAGGACTATAATGGTGTAATCCAAAACTAGTATATAACGTCGTTTTGTGATATACGATCCCTATAATACGAGGTAGTCTGCCACAGCTGAGTAGCAACTATTCTGACTAGCAAGAATGAAAACTCACGCAGTCTTGTGATAGAGAAAACGATGATATGGCGCGGCAGAAAACCATGTAGTGAAAGTTGGTGTGCAACCTGCGCATAAGAACTACGTATCACCTGCAGAAACCGAACTCCCCGTGGAATTCAATGACTTCGACAGTGGATACTACTGAGGAAGCATGCGGTAGTGTGTGGTTTTCTCGTAATTCAGCTCCGCGTCTAATGGAAGGTAGGGTTTATTACGGAATTTGTGGAACTGCTTTGCAACACTCGTTTACAATTGCGTGATAGTCAGGGAATTTCCAAGAAAGTTCAAGGAGATGTGTTAAAGAAGAAGACGGATATTTGGTTTTTAAAAACAAGGTGCATATGAGAGGTTTACTTTCCTGCCCAATAGCCTGTAACAGTTGGGTTGGTGCTTTCTAATGGAAAATTCCACGGCGAAGGGCTTTCCTACCTTCACTGACAGTGTGACTGATGAAGCCATCATTGACGCGCAGACCCAATAGCCTGTAACTGTTTAGTTGGTGCTTTCTAATGGAAAATTCCACGGCGAAGGGCTTTCCTACCTTCACTGACAGTGTGACTGATGAAGCCATCATTAGAAGGACGCGCAGATTTTCGTGCAGCTTGCACTTGGCTCGTAAGTCCGACGGCAATTATCCAATCCATACGAACAACGACTCCGCTTAATAGATTAGATATATATGCATAAACGCCGTAGTAGAACGACCGATAAGCTAGCGTTAATAGCGATGGAGTAACGAAGGTTTGTTAGGAAAGTAGACCCAGAAACGACTATACGAAGTGAACTGAAAAGATGGCGTAAAATTTAAGACCAATATCTGGAAAACAAGGCGCTTCAAAACCTATCAACACGGTACTTCGAAATTGGCGATTAACTCGTTGAGTTTCCTCCGTGGTGACGCTCACGAGTGATAGGGGAGTATACCGTAGCTGTTCTCGAACAGTATTGGAGTGTGTGTAAAAGCCCTGTGCCGAGGGAATGCTAACGTGTTTCCGGCTGAAGCGAAATCAAGATAACGAGGAGTATCCTACAAATCACAAAACCGCCTACTAATAACTGAATTTCGAAAGGAAGTCAAAAGAGCGGGAAAGGAGAGGCAAACCCACTCACCTAAGCGGAGTTGGTATTGCTTGATATCCTTTCGTTCCGGCATCTGAGCAGCCAGCTCCCATTCCTTAACTAGCCGGGTAATCATACCATGGTCTTCATAAGCTGCCGCTTCCGTAAACGTTTCAGTGAGACTTGGTTTGTAAAAACCTGTAGTGGAACAAATGGATATGAAAACCTCCTGCAGTATTAGAAATGCTACTGTAAGCAACATACAAAGTCACAACTAAGCCGAAAGTACACACCACACGCTTTTGCTACTATGACTTAAGAATAAACATGCACATCTGATCGTATCAATGGGACAAACAGCCCACATGCTAGTAACATGCACAACAATACGGCCACCTAGATGTCGACATTCATTAGAATGATTTCTCAAGATCGTTTATTAGTTTCTTCAAGAGCGTTCCCTTGAAAACAAGCCATCCAGGAGTGTGAAAATTCCCGTCTCCAGAGTGTCCTCTCTTTGTGGAAGCAGAACAATACTCCATGGCTGAAGACACGTTGGAATGTCTCTGTGAATGGTGTTCCGAAGAAGAACACGTGTAAAAGAACCCCAATTGTCACAACCAGCGAGAAGCCGAATGAAGGAAGGACAGGCAGTCACGGTTGGAATATCCCTTATTGATGCTCTGATGATCATCGGCCTATTGTATACCGTAGGAGAAAGACGAGAGACGATTAGTGGCCACCACTCAGACGTCTTAAAGGACAATACGAGGAGAATACGAGCTTAAAAGCTGTGTACAGGATGTTACGGAGTAGTCAATAATTTTGGCTAAAGAACCTACCATGTCCCCATTGAGTGGGTCCTACCATCGGTCTTTCGCAAGGTATTTGTGAACAGTAGTGGCAACATATTGACACACGAGCTTGGCCTGTACGTTGAGCTTGCTAAAAACTGGGACTATTCGGTGAATCCCAGCGGCGGACTTTCGCAGTGTGTGGGCGTTTAGAATCCAACGCCCCTGATCGTCTTTTATCGGCTCTTTGTATGTTTCCCTCCGCCCTTCAAAGCACAATCAATTGCTCAGCTATAATCTGTTATTGTGCAATGTAAAGAACACTGATTGAACCCAAAATAGTTGCAAACCACGAAAGCTTCGCTTAAATTAACTGAATTCTAGAATTGACCTCGTTTCAAGATCAGATATCCCTTTCAGCAAGACGGAGTTTTGGAACGAGTATCAACAAGCAAATTGATCTTCCTTGTTCAATGCGCAGGAAAAAAGTGGGTAAACTGTTTACACCGAAAATGCAAGAAAAGTCAAGAAAAGTAATATGAAACCCGTCCACCAAACTTCTGAGAGATCACGGTGCTAAGAACTATTCTGTAGTTGGAATGACATGTCACATTTGCAGTTTTGTCTCAAATAAGGTTAACTAGCTGTGGGAACGGTGGAAGGTATCCATTCTGAAGAAGAAACCTTTATTCTGTGGAACAAACTCAGTGACTCGTCACGCCTGACGCTTGAACGCCACTTATGTCAAGTGGACGTTGTACGACGGCAGCCGCAGACCTATAGAGCTTATAGAGGTTTGGGTACACATTGATACATATTTGAGATACGCTTAATCTCCACCAACGATGTCGGACTCAAAACACGGAAAAGCTTCATGGACAACGGGTATTGCACCCCAAGCAGGGATTCCTCTGAAGGGATGATATCCTCTGAACAGAACCACAATAGCTTCCTCGTCAATGATTACCCAGAGGCGGGTCATTAAACGAAATAACCTTTTTCCCTCATTGAGCCTATTGCTGGTTGGGAGAAAGTTTGGTGGTATATTATGAAATAGCCATAGCGAGACAAAGGTTTTTCAAAATCAATGAAAATAGACGATTTTCATAATGAAAAATTATACATACCAACCGCCGACGCGTTAATGAAAGCCTTCAAAGGGAATGATTGAGCAGCTTTCACCAAAATCTTTGTAGTATCTATTCGACTGGAGAAGACTTCTTCAATATATTGTTTGTAGCGACTATGGACAGACAGGGTACATCAGTTTCGAACTGTCATACCCCGGCAGACAGAAAAGCGGGTTGACTTCACCAATGCTCCGCCCAGTGGTGTTGATTACAACTTGAGTACTCGGTGGCAGTCCAGAGGACTTGATTGAATCCTTTTAGAGGGCCAAACATAAAACAACGGAGAACCTAACAGGCCTACCCAGGTCACATGATTATTGGATTTAGGTGTTCGCGTTACCACCTTGACTGTGTGTCCAGCTGAAAGAAGTTGAGCCGAAATTGCCTTTCCGATTAATCCAGTACCGCCAGCTGAAAAGGAAAATACACAGGAATAAAACTTGTGATATCGCATAAAATCAGTGGCTTGTGTGGGAAAATTAGTTGTCGTTGAGAAATCACTACAAGCATTTGATGATGAGACGCTCTTTTGGTGCTCGAAGTACCCCGATTCACATAAGAGAGGGAGTGAGATTTTCTAAACGATATTTGTTTCATGGATGCTCCAAACCCACCCACTATTTGCTATCCGGATAATGCTTCAGCACACTAGTAACCAATTTAGCTAAATGGGTGTGGATTATATACATAAAATTAAGTCCAAAAACGCACAGTTCTGGTATTGTCCGGAAGAACTGTCTTGACTATCATAAGTGATCAGGTAGTATGTTCAGTTATCAAATGGGTAAACAGATTGTGATTCCGTTGCTCAGAAGGCTGAAGACATCAATCTCAACATGGGAATTAGTGACCGAAACGTCTGTTCCATCTATTTACTATCATATGACACAAAACGGAATTTATCCCATGAGGTTGGTACAACCGTTCGCTGGATATCATGTCAAGCATCCTATTTTTTCAACTAAACTGACAGAAAAAGAAGTGAATATGACTCGGTGGATTCCTTTTTATTCTTGGTAACGTTTGTAGCCCCCTGTTCCTCACCTCTAGGTCTTCGAATGCCGCAGTGTGTACGGAGTTCCCCAACCTTGTGTTGTTTCCCAACGATTGATGAAATCTCAACTAGACATACTACCTCGAATATAACTGTTCTACAGTGCAGCCATAATGGCCAGCTTCAGTTTCTTGTTTGCTGTTTTGTGCATCGACCTGATCAGCTGTGCGAGCTGGAAGAATACGTGATCAAGATCCCGATATCTACTAAGCCGGAACATCGTAGACGTTGGTGCCTCAGAAACCGTCGTCGGCTCAAAATGCCATGGCCCCACGTTTGAAACCCTAGAAACACATTACCTGCCGTCATCAGGACGGCCATTTTGTTGTACAGTTCACGTCTTTTAACAACATCCACTCCAAAAAAACATATAGTCTAAATACGGGAGTAAATTACGAGACGCGACCCGGTGAATCATAAAATTTGGTCACTAAATTACGTATTCTAGTTGTTGCGCCACGAATGATGTAGTGCACGAGGGTGCTCAGTGAGATGTCATGTTCCAACCGCCTTAATCTTAACATCAGTATTCAGAAGCTACTGATACCACTATTCATCTGTTCAGCACATCAGAAAAGCCTTCCAATGAATGTAAAAAGTAGGTTATTTCCCCAAGCAACACAAGAAATAGTAGCACTAACCAATCACAAAGTTCAATGACATCGTCCAAAAGAGAACAGGATTCCGAACAGATGCCCAACGGTCGGAGCTAAAAACGAACAGAAATTCGGCAGTCAGCCGGGGTTAGGTGAGCGAACCTGACTGAAAAACAGTACTTACCAGCCTGCCAGGCCCAGTACGAGCAAGACTTAAAACTGAATGAAAGTAACTCCCCGAAAACTTCATGTTTCATTTGGAAACTTCGTCCTCATATTATTTCTGACAGTTTCATACAAGCAACATATACAAACAAAACTTTATAAAGGCTTTTAAAAAATATATTTAACTGCGATCCCAGAACCCCACAACCCGTCGATATAATAGTAATATTATCATTAAGCGTTCAGCTGTACCACCCTTTCGGTGCCTAGCTGACCTGCCACCTGAAGGAAGCAAGAGGGCTGGGATATTGCCAGGTTTCTTAAGCCTAGACAGGATGAGTCGGAAGCCGGAGGTCAGGTTCGAACTACGGACCTTCTGGTCAGTGAATTCGCGCCATACCACTGAGCCATATCACCACATCGATATCATTATTCAGAGAACGCATTGAAGTACATTCCACAGGATGACGTGCACCAACCTGTGAGAATCATTCGCAGTCGGTTTTGCACTAGTGATAAGACTATGACAGAAAAGTGAACACGACTGTCTGCCAGTAGCCAATGCGTCAGTTCATACCTTTTGCCAATTAATCTGTTGAAACAACTAGCTGCAAAGATTTCTCTTTCATACGCTTCATTTGTCCAAAAGCCCCCTCCATTGATTCGGCGGTCTGCCTTGAGTTCTATGATGAAGCAGTGAAGCATCAGTGTTGAACACTGATGTCATGCTGTCAATGAGGATGATGACTATGATGAACCCATCACTGGCAGTGCCTTAGACTTTGTTTCACAAGGTAAAAACATGCAAGAGGGCAGAAAGGTACAGCCAGACAATGTACAGCAAGTTCATGTAGTAAGTGTAACCATATTATGGGGCAGTCTATCGCGTTCCAAAAAAAAGGCAGTAAGTTTCTTCCACCAGACGAAAAAACAAGTCCATATGGAAGCGGTGGAAATGAAATTTTCGGACCTAAACGCCATATGCTTAGACTGCCTCTAACCGTGACCAAAAGCGGATTATCAAATATCGTCGACACAGTTAGGACTTACGAGGAGCTCAGTGCGACTACAAAGCTTTCCATCATGCGCAAAAGCTTTAGTTAAACAAATATTTCCTAGTCCCTGCGAGCCAGCACCAGGCCAGTCCCTACAGCCAGCGTCCGACAGACTGTTCACTCGTTGTGAATTTCAGACATGATAACAAGAAAACAGCATGACATCACCTAACCGTCTGCCTCCCCCTGACGAACGCAAGTCTTGGTGACGACTAATGGTCGAGAACAGCCGTCAGTTACATAGATCCGTGTCAACTGCCTCGAATCAACCAGTTGGTATAAAAGGTAAACCGTCTGCCTCCCCCTGACGAACGCAAGGCTTGGTGACGACTAATGGTCGTGAACAGCCGTCAGTTACATACATAGTGCCAACTGCCTCAAATCAACGAGTTGGTATAAAAGGTGATGGCGTCCCTGGTCTATGCAGCGAATCAAACACATTAAAAAAGATGAGCAACTTTTTGACGCCGAGTCCCGATTGACTTAACCAATGGGCTTATGTTTCCACTGTATTATTAATGCCACAAAAAAGGAGAAGCCGCCTGGCTACGCCTGTCTACGCAGACGTCACCATTTGTAGGGCTTATTTGGCCTACAACGAAGACAGCCTTTCGAGATGCATGGCAAGAACATGCAGCTGGGGTCTCACTTCTTGTGATGGCACGTGTCATTAGTGTAAACGTGATTCACAGGTTAGTATGCAAGACATCCAAAACACTATCAAGCCAGAATCTGAAAAATAATAAGATAATCGTTCAGCTATAATACCTTTTCGGTGCGTAGCTGCCATGCCACCCAAAGAAAGAACGAGGGCTTGGATACTGCCAGGTTGCCTAAGACAAAACCAGATGGGATGTGCTCCTTACACAAGTTAGTTTCGCCCCTTCTCTGACATCTCAACAGCGAGAAACCAACTTGTCCTCTCGTTACTTCTGGTGGGTATCCTGTTTCTAGGACAAAGCTCATCTCCTGGTTCAAAACAAAACTGTTTTCCTTCCCAGTGATGCCGAACTCTCGAAGTCGGAGCCCTAAAACGCAATTGTTGTGTCAGTCGATCATTTCCAAAACTGCGTCGCGTCAAACATGGCAACAGCCTCATCCCTGAATCAGAATGCAAGTATTCTCCAGAACCTTAACTCCGGCGGAAAAAGATCAGGAACAATGCAGTCCTTGAAGTCATTATGAAATGGAGCCTACCCCAGAAGTCACTTCCAGGTGGCCACTGATTACAGGTCAACAACATGAAGAAACAAAGACCCGTAAAGGTTGGCTTTGCTAACCCTTTGCTATGATGCTATGCACAGTCCTGGTAGGAAAGACAATGTCACTGCGCCCTCTTTGTTTGTGCGGGCCAATACGGAACCTTAGTGATTTAAAGGATTTACATGCCTCTGTGCTGTCATTGATGTCATGGCATGTCATGCTGTCATGATGTCATTGACTATTAATGCGTTGAAATTCGGGGTCCG